CACCTCGCGGCAGAGGAAGCGAAGCGCTGGGCCACTGAGATGAGCAGGTGCGTCAGCTACGTAGTGAACAAGTTCAGGAGCGCCGTGACCGCGGAGAAGCTGGATCACTACACGAGGACCCTCGGACAGGCGATGAACTTGGAGTGCGGTCGTACTTCTTCTGGCAAAAAGAAGGGGACGCCACGCAGTGATAACGTCGTCGAGAGCACCTCCGCGGATGACACTCGTGCCGAGAGCTCGGCCCCAGCCGCGAGTGCACCACGCAGTCCAGCAGACGCAAGGCACAAGCTGATCAAGGAGCTAAATGGGATTTCTCCACCGCCCAAGGCGAAGACCAAAAAGGACGAAGTGCACAGCCCGCTCGTCGTTTTCTCCAGCCAGGAGGTGATGGAGTCACCTGCGCGCCCTTCCGCTGCACCTGCCGCTTCTAGCTCTGCGAAGAAGGTCACTTTTCACCTCCTCTCCATCCCTTTCTGCTGCCTGCTAACTTCTCCTGCTGTGATCATCCTCTTCTATCCGTCCAACTCATCCGTCTTCTTTATCACAGGTGACGTGGTACGACTGGAACTCCGACCCGCCGTCCATGGTCGTTGCTGATGAGTCGGGCCAGGAGACGCGCATGCCGCTGTCAGCAGGCGAGATGGGTTTCTTGATCGCACGCGCGCCTGGTGGGGACAAGATCGAGACAGACCAGTCCAACGCCTTGCTCGCTGCCCATGCTGAGGGGCGGAAGAAGCGGGAGGCCCAAGAGAAGGGGGCGCTGACGAAACCTGACAAAAAACAATGAAGAAAAAGTGTATGAAAGCAGCCAGGAAGCGCCCTGCTGCAGCGATGAAGGGACCTCCCAGGAAGCGCCCTGCCCACGCGAAGGCTGCCAGCGAGGCTTCGGACGGAGAAGAAGGCGGCGGGCAGGAAGACGAAGGAGGAGGAGGAGGAGGAGCAGCAGGACGCGGGAGGCGGTGGCGACGACGAGGCGGAGGACGAGCTAGCCGACGAAGCAGTTGGAGGCGCTGTCGACGGGCGCGATTATCACCTTGACTGGTACAAGAGGGACTACAGGGTGGGGATCAAACTGCTGCACGGGGAGAAGAATCAGCTATGCTCGTTCGGAGGCGCCGCTGCGAGGGACAAGGTGTCGAAGGAGGAGCTGCTCGACATCGGCAGGCAGGTGTGCGAGCAGCTCAAGGAGGGCGCGATTGCTGAGAGGAAGGATGTTGCGCGGGGCGCTGCGGACGCTCTGATGGAGGAGCTGATCGATGGAATTACCCTCATCCTCCCCCTCCTCCTCATCATCACGATCATCATCACCATCATCAGCACACATCGTCATCTTACGCAGCACTTCCCCTCTGTCAGGGGCTCGCCATCTCATCTCTTCACGCTATTATATAATGTTTACATCCCCTCCACCAGGGGCGTCACGAACCCCTTGTTAGGGGACGCGCCCCTTCATTCGGGGGAACCACAGCAAGAGATTTCGATTGTTTACGTTCAGTGCAGCCGTTTGCGGCTCAAGGCGATCGAGCCCGCGAGGCTCGCGAGAAGGCCTTGTGCCGCTCTTGTGCTCGCGGCGCTCGCCGCATGGCTCTTGCGCTCGCGGCGCTCGCCGCATGGCTCGCTTCGCAGGGGGCGGAGGCCGCGAGTCTTGGAAACAAATCAGGAGGTTCGGATGTCAGGGGCGAGATGGGGATCAGGGAATTCAGAAACCAAAGTTTTCTAAGAGAAGCCTTCTCCCTCCAGGAACTCCTTGGGTAGAGCCAGAGAAGAGCGAGGGCGCGCGCCAACCCTCCCCCCCCCCATCCCTCAGGCGATGATCGCTGGCAGCGGATCTGCTCCGGGAGGCAGCGGCGGCGACCAGTGGGGCGATCCTCCGCGGAAGCGTCATCTCGATGACGCGAAGGACGCTGGGTCGGATGCAAAAGCTTACCCCTTGCTAGGGGACGCCTCTTCAATAAAGAATTTGTTTCGTCTCCCCCCCTTTCCTCCCCTATAGGACGACGCGACCGCCGTCTCAGACGAGGAGGAGGAGGATGAGGCTGAGATGCTGAGGGATATCAGGGAGAAGCGGTACACGAGGGCCCCAACAAGGCCGTTCTTGCGCACGGACAAGATCCAGCTGTGCAATAAGTGCAGCAGGCGCACGTGGGTCTTCACGTGCGTGTCGCGTTCCTGCCAGGAGCACCACGCCTCTCGCTGGTGTACGGAGCGGGGCTTCGTCTCCACAGGAGGTCGCCGCTATCGCGGCCGCAAGTCGGAGGCCGAGCGCGCCAGGTGGCCCCCATGGGAACCCATTGCGCTGCGCGCCCACTGGAAACCTAAGTTTGACATGATAAACCTTTCTTGTCACCAGAGTTTGGTATGAAAAACTTTTCGCAGTTTTTCAATCCGAGTTCCTGTTCTTGCAGGGTTCTTCCTCCTCCTCCTCCTCCTCCTCCTCCTCCTCCTCTTTCTCCTCCTCCTTCCCTTCTTCCTCCTCCTCTCCTTCCTTCTCCTCCTCTTCCTCCTCCCCCTTCTCTTCCTCCTCCTCCTCCTCATCCTCCTCCTCCTCCTCCTCCCCCCCTCCCTCCCTCCCTCCCCCCTTCTCCCTCTTCACATCCGTTTTCTTTTCTCCTCCTCCTCCGCCTCCTCCCTCCTGCCTCCTCCTTTCCCCTCCTTTCTCTTCCTCCTCCTCCATCCTCCCCCCCCCCCTCCTCCTCCTCCACCGTCTCCTCCTCCTGCTCCCCCCCCCCCTTTCCCCCTCCCAGGTGGCAGCAGCAGAGGATGGACAGGAACGAGCAAGCTCTCGCGAACGCCACCGAGGACGCGATGGGGATCAGGAAATAAAGCACCCTTGCGCTAGGGGACGCCAAAACAGCCCTACGATAAGATTCCCCTTTGCTAGGGGTGCAAACATCCCTACTTGTATTAATGACCCCTCAGCTAGGGGCATATTGTCCGCAATCCCCAGGGCTTGGCCGAGGGAGCAGGAGGAGGCGCGGAAGCAGGTGGAGGAGGCGCGGAAGCATGAGCTGCAGGCGCGCATCCAGCGACGCAGCCTGCGACGCAGGAGGCAGGAATGCAGACCGAGACCTCCGAGGGGGCCCCGCTCAGCCCAGAGGCGGACGCAGACGACGCTAGCGGCGCTGAGACGGAGGATCTCAACAAGAGAGGGCGCGAAATCCCGAAGAGGCTGAGGAGGAGGAGGCGCGAGAGAACGGCTTCACGCGAGGAGATGGACAGGAGGGCTCTGCAGGAGCAGGCGCGGAGGGACGAGGAAGCAGCCCGACGACGCGAGGAAGCAGCTCTTCGGCGACAAGAGGAAGAGAGGAAGGAAGCAGCCAGGCAGGCGGAAGAAAGGGAGATTCAAGCGAAGGCCGACGAGAGGAGGAGGAGAGCAGAGATGACGAGGCAAGTCCTGCGCGTCTTGGAGCAAGCAGAGGTGAGCGTCGCTAGCAGATCAGCCGAAGCTTTCCAACGAATCGAGCAGGATCGAAAAGAGGCGGAGGAGCGTGAAAAACAGAGGCAACAGGAAGAAGAGGAGGCTGCGGCGATGAGGCTGCAAGAGGAGGAATCCAGGAGCGCAACCGAAGAAAGTCGGAAGCGCAAGCAGGGAGAGGACAGGCGCCACGAGCGAGAACGCAAGAAAAAGAGAGCTGACGCCAGGCGCGGGGGAGGCGGGGGCAGTTGCGCAAGCACTGCGAGTCCGCTGGAGGTGGCGACGGCGGCTTCTATGGCCACGGCTGCTGCGGAGCAGGAGAGGGCTGACGCAGAGAGGCTGCAGAAAGAGGAGAACGACAGGAAGGCTGCAGAGGAGCGGAGACTGGCGCAAGCAGAGCAGGCCCGCACAGCAGCGGAAGAGAGGAATAAGAAGGAAGAGGACGACGCGAGGGCAGAAGCCGAGAGGAAGCAGAGAGAGGATTCCGATCGGAAGGCGGAGGAGGAACGGAAGAAACGCGAGGAGGACCAGCGGAAGAAAGACGAGGAGGAGAAGCGGAAGAAAGACGAGGACGCCCAGGCGAAGAAGGGCGGGGGCAAGAAGGACGGCAAGAAGGGCGGCCGCAAGGGGAACTAGGACCGCGATGCGTTTCCTTGGGAGCCGTCACCACTTCTGTAGTGGGTCTGTCTCCCTCCCACACATTGCACTTGCGCGCCCCTCCCCCCGCCCACCCCCCCTCCCAGAGGACGACTTCCTCGTGTGCGGCGCGAAGGAGGCCTGAGACCCGCGGTGGGTTTCACATCCATATCTACGACAGTCGTTGCACGCTGGCTGCGACTGGAAGCCCGCTCAGCTGGGCCACAGAAGACACACCCGATTTTATTAAATAGAAATTCTATTGAATAGAATTGAAGGAAGTATCAAACAAAACCCACATTCTATTAAATAGAAATTCTATGTAATAGAATTTCAGAAACGAGATTGCCCGCTTTCTAGCTGCAGATTGGTTCACTTTGCGTTGCCTGATGAAACCAACACTTCCGAACAAAGACGGGTGGTTTGACCACGGGGCTTCTGACCCTACACTCTGATCAGCTTAATAGCGGTAGTGCAAATGCTTACCATTCGCTCGCAGTCCGTGATCACCCCTTGATAGGGGTATCTAGCCTAGATCTCAGTGTCCTCTTGGTTCGTGCCCCTACTGTAGGGGCTTTCTGGGGGGCAGGATGAGCATGGCGGATTTCTGTGGATCAGGACGCTACGGCAAGGAAGGACCGACGAGGAAGGAGGCAGGTAGGGCCAAAGGGGGGAGGGGGCAGCATGCATCCCGTAAGTGCTTTTCGGCTCAAGGTCTGCTTGTTTTCGGCGCGCTGATTGTCATATTTACATTTGCGAGTGTTGGATCCTTGTACGGTTCGACAGCATGCCTCCTCCCGCCGCGGTTTCTTGCTTCGCGTATGTCGTGCCGATGATGATTCTTTGTTCGTCGATGGTGTGCGGGGAGAAAGGCGACGACTCTGGCCCCGCTCCTAAGAGATGCAAGGCTTCTAAGGGGGAGGGGGTCGACCCGAAGGAGGCCACAAAGATGCGCAACTGGCTCAAGCTCAATTCCTCGGGCACTGATGCAGATTTGCAGAAGAAGGCAGCGGAAGCGCAGGCAGTTTGGTCGAGTTGCAAGAGCCCTTCAGAGCGCAAGATGTTCTTGGAGAGCGTCCAGAAGGATAAGAGCAAGAACTTGGACTGGGTGCATACGTTTCACGAAGAATGCGAAAATGCAGAAAAACATAGGGAATGGGCCAAGAAGGGGTACGTCACAGTTCCGCAAGCTTTGAAAGAACAGAACCTTTCATTGTCAGATTTTAAGGGTCATAAGCTGGCTCTCGAGTTCGTCCAGGAGTGGTGGGAGGATAATTCGCAGACGTGCAATACGAAGGAGGCGTTTCCAGTGAAGTACGACAAGAAGGACCGCATATTGTGGCACGAGTTCTATTTCATTTTCCCACAGATGTCTGAGGACAGCTTGGAGACGTCTGACAAGAAAAAGTTTACGGGCGAGGGAAACGTCAAGTCGGCAAAAGCGCTGGAATGGGCAGCAGCCAGGATGGGGGAGCTGCGCAGTGGCAGCAGCAGTGCGAGCGCGAACCCAGTGAAGCTGGAGAACCCGCTGTGGCCGAACATCCAGGCGAACAAGGATTCGATCACGCCATCGCCTCAGCAATCTCTCCTCTCCCTCGTCTTCCTGCTCACTCCCCTCACAGACGCCCCCCCCCCTCCCTCTTCTTGCGCTTAGGTCTACCCTGTCGAAGTACCAGGCTGAGATGAAGAAGCTGAAGACGCTCCGCGCGAAGCTCCACAATCTCGCCAAGACTGCCAAGGACAGTGACAAAGGCCGATATGACACCTGGGCAAAGGAGGCTGACAAGACCCTCAAGAGCGCGACTGATCACGAGGAGGCGGTGGAGCTCCTGATCGAGAAGACGGGAATCACTCACGAGACGAACGAGAAGAAAGATGATTATGCCAATCTGAACAAGGATCTCGTAGCCATGAAGTCCACCGCAGAGCACCACCTGGACGGCATCGAACTGGCGGTCAAGAGGTTCTCGCGCTACGTGGAGTGAGTGGCGTTTCCATATCATGTTCGTAGCCCCCTGAGTTACATCCATATCATTCCCTCGGCGCGCAGACGCTAGAGATGGAGGCGCAAGGCGACGCTCCAACAAGAAAAAATGCGCGCATACCTTGATAGGGGCTCTCTGTCTGTCTGCCCCTGTCTGTCTCTGCCTATCTCTGTCTGTCTGTCTGTCTGTTTCCTGTCTGTCTGTCTGTTTGTCTGTCCGTTCGTTGCTTCTCGCTCTCACTCACGTTCGTCTGTTCTCTCTCCATCTCTCTCTCTCTCTCTCTCTCTCTCTCTCTCTCTCTCTCTCTCTCTCTCTCTCTCTCTATATATATATATATATCGTTCTCTCCTTTTCTCCCTCTGCTGTTCCACCCCCCTTTCGCCGCCTCGCCCGGTATCCAGCGCGACCCCTTCTCGAGGGGAACCTTCGCATCTTCTCGTCGCCCCTATCCTGCAGGGGTGGCCCTGTTGTAGGGCGCGCCAGTGCGCAAGATACGTCCGTAGCTTTTGGCTCGAGGGACGACCGTGGCCTTTGGCTCGAGAGAGGTCGCCGCAGCATGCTGTCCAAACGCGCGCTGCCTTATGACAGGCGCGCGCTGCCAGCAGACAAACGCCTGAGGGCGAATGTCGCTGACTTCGTGTCGCGCAACTTCGTGTCGGGCGCCAGGGGGCTCCAATTGGCAAACGACATCCACCGCTCTGGTAAGACGAAGCCGGGATCGGGGCAAAATTTGACCGGGATAAAAATCATGCTCGGTTTTTCAAATCACCGGGGGCGCCGCCGAACGGGCCTGCCACGCCTTGGGCGCCATCGGCTTCGCGAGGGAAGAAAAGCGCCCCGGCGCGGATGAAGCCACGGCGCGTATTTGGCCACGCGCACGACCGAGGGAATTCAGCGCCAAGCGCCTTTCACTCCAGAAGACCCGACGTCAACAAAACAAACTTGAGGCCCAAAGGGGGCCCCAAGGAGGCGGACCGCCAAAGCAATCGCGCAACCAACGCAACGAAAAAACACGAAAATGTCAAACATCGCGTTACTCAGTGACCTCTTCGGCCAAGCAACACCGCGATAATGCCCAAGACGGCATTGGAAAAGAAGTCACGCGCGCGGCCAGGCGACTTCCCCGCGCCGCCCCAAGGTTCCTGAAACGCGCCGAAATAACCGTAGAGAACACCCCGGAAAGTCTTTAGAAAATCCCCGCGCCATGCAAGATCCGCCACCGAACAATCTCGCGGACACCGAGCGCGTGCGCGCGGGCGTCCACCATGGATGCCCAACTCCGGTTTCCGAGACAATCGCGCGCAACCGCCTGGGGGGCTCGGCAACCTCGCAATTGGCCCAGGGGACCGCGGGCCCCAGGGAATCGAAGACCGAGTTCGCAACTCCGGAAGCATCGGGCGCAGCGCCAGCCAGTCGCTCGTCTCTGGCTGACAGTAGGACGCCTGGAGACCCCGTAAAACCTAAGGAACCGCTTTTCAGAGATTCACAGAACCAGAAACCGGGGCGCGCCAAATTCTCGCGTCCGAACTTCTCTGAGAATCTCTGAAAATCTCTGGACTAGCCACCCCGCGTGAAATATTCCCATAAACCCAAAACCTCGGAGCTGGCCGAAACTTTCTGAGAGTTTTCCGGCCCGCGAAATTTGGCGCGCCCGGATTTCTGGTTCCGAGATCCTCTGAGATCGCGCTGCGGCGGCGCCCAGCAGGTCCTCGCGCGCCCAGGGTGGAGGCCGTGGACATCGCGGGCCGCGATGGTCCCGACCGCGAGGTCCTTCCTCCTGCCCCTCGACGAGTCCACGCTCATGGACACGCTCTCTGCGCTGAGCGTGGACCGCGCCATCCGCCGGTACTTCTGCGCGACGACAGCCAACTGGCCGCCGACGGACAAGGCGATTTTTCTCCGAGCTGCGCGTGCCACCGAAATCGTACAATAGCCCCGGGCTCGGGGAGAAACACTTTCGAAGCATTTTCAGGCCGCCAGCGTCGTGGCTGCCGACCCGCCGCGCGCCGACCGAGAGACTAGCTTGGTCCACTACGTCCACGGCGGCGGGCGGGCGCCCAAGAGAGCTGTCGCCACGGTGCGCGCGGCGGGGCGCCCGCCCACCGGCAACCGCAAGCGCGGCCTCCATGGCGCCACAGGCGTAATATGTGCGACGCATTCTCGGGCCCCCCATCAGCGCATTGGCCGGCGCCCAAGTCCCTGAAAACGCAAACCTACTGCGCCCCCCGTGCAAGCCGCGCACCCGCTCACAATGCTCGTGCACACCAGATTTTCTGCCCGCCCTCAACAGTTTAATTGAGCGCCCATGTGTTACTTGGGCTCCTCAAGCCCTCGAACACTCTTTGGGAACTTCTGCGAATGCGCGCGCGACGCTCCACAAATCGACGTTCTATTTTTCTCTGGAGCTCTCCCAGAATCTCTGGTTCCGATTTGTCCCGGTTCCGATTTGTCCCGATCTTCCGCTCAACTGATCTGGTGCCACAGGCGTTGCTGATTTAGTACCATCAGAAAAATGCCCGGGCAATGCTCCGAGTTTCTTTCGCCAGATTATCAGAAAGAACGGTTGGCCACCCTTGTACGTGTGCGACGAGCGGGTGTGGAACACTAAAAGGCAGGTGGAGGAGCTGCAGAAAATACATATAATGCTGCCCCACGAGATTTTGGATCGTTTGGCGTTCTTCGGCCACGCAGATGTTATGACTGGCACGTCTGGGTTAGATCCCGTTTCGCTGGAGCAGTTCAACCGTGCAGCGTCGTCCCTCGGCGACTCCGACACGGTCCCATGCGGCATCTGGCAAGACGGTGTGCCTTGTAACTGGGACCGCAGCGTGACCGCTGACATTGTTTCGCTCCTGTTGCCTGGCTTAGAGGAGCGCTACGCGATCCTCCGCGTGCCCATCGCATGCTTGCTGAAGAACCAGTTGTCCCCAAACACCCTGGATGACATTTTTGAAATTGTCCGCTGGTCATTCGCGCACCTCGCAACCAAAACGTGGCCATCGTGCAGACACGATGGATCGCCATTCGGGAAGAGCGACAAGTGGAGGGCCAAACAGCATAGCGAGAGAGGGCGACTCCCTCTCAGGGGCGTTGTTTGCCAGATCAAGGGCGACTGGAAGATGTTCAAGGAGGTGCTGAAGCTGCCAGGGTGGCAGGACGCGGAGCGCTGCTTCCAGTGCAAGATCAAGCTGCCCGAGGTCACAAGGAAAAGCACATAGCCAACCCAGTTCTGCCTCCACCGACCCCTGCCCCAACGCCCCGCCCCCCCTGCGCTGCCTGAGGAGGGGGGCCCCGGCGCGAAAGTTGCGCGCCCCCCGCGCTGACGTTGCAAAGGCCATCCCCTGTCGCTAGGGGGCGCTCGCCCAAGAAGCGGGGGAGGGCCATCAACGCTGCGCGCGGGGCCAGCAGGGCGAGTTGAGAGGTGGGGCGCGGACCATTAGCTGGAGGAGGCAAGGGGAGGGGGAGAGGGGAATGGAGGAAAGGGATGGCAACGCGCATAAGCAAATCAATAACACGAGACGGATAGGAGAAGAAGGAGGAGGAGGAGGAGGAGGAGGAGGAGGAGGAGGAGGAGGAGGAGGAGTGGAGGAGGAGGAGGAGGAGGAGAGGAGAGAGAGGAGGGATGCGAGGAGGAGACGGAGGAGGAGGAGGAGGAGGAGGAGGAGAGTGAGGAGAGGAGGGCAAGTGAGGAGGAGCAGCAGGAGGAAGAGGAGGAGGTGAGGGGAGGAGGAGGACGACGACGACGACGAGGAGGCACGCAACGGGAAATCATATTGGAGGGGGAGGAGCGATGCGCTGGGGAGGAGGGGAGGGCGGGGCCCCAAGTGACGGGGGCGTCGAGGAGGGTGGGCAAGCCGAGGAGCAGGCGGAGGAGGCAGAGGCAGAACAGGAGAGGGAGGATGGTAAAGCGAAGTTTTCGATGCCCGCACGGTCTCTACCGAGATCGGCCACGACGCGCCCTGGCGCACGGACCGCAGATCATGGCAAGAACTTTTGATGAAAATCCTGGGTTCTGGACATCGAGTATGCCCTTTGTTGATGGTTCCGTTTGTCAGCATGCGAACTTTTGATGTTGGATTGGCTGCGCTGCGCGGATTTAGGTGTAGCTGCAGATTTTATGGGCTCTCTGATCTGGTATTGCGTCGTCAAGAGGAAAGTCCCAGGCGGCACGCAGAAGCAGCGCATGCGAGAGATGCACCTTTTGATGCAGGGGTTTTACGATAGACAACCTCCGAACGGCGCGCCGAACAGGCTTCCTCACTTGAGCATTGGGGTTGTGAAAGGCAAATCAAACAGCTATCCCAAGCTCAGATGTAGCGCTGGCATGGTTCGGCATCTAATACCGTGGGGTATGGAACTTGCGGAACAGTTCTGCGACAGGAATGACCCCGTGGAGTCTTCTATGTATTTTTGCATGCAGAGTTTATCACGCTGCTACGCTGCGCTTGCAGGGTCTTTCCCATTTACGAAAGACACGATGCTGGAGCATTCTGTGCGTTTTGCTCAACACTTCACTGCTTTGGCGACGGCGCATGATAACATATTTCGCATTAAACCCAAGCTGCATCATTTTTTGGAATTATGTTCTTCTGGAGGACAACCGTCCAAGCACTGGAACTACCGAGATGAAGACTTTGGAGGGTCCGTTGCGGCGTTTGGGAAGCGCAGAGGGGGTGCTCCGAACACGTCTGAGTTTTCAAGGGCATGCATGACGAAGTTTATGGGGCAGCCTGTTGTTCGTCTCTTGCGCTGAGTATGAAAAAAAAGCCCAAAGAAGGCAACGCCCCTCATCTAGGGGGATTTTCTTGGGTGCGAATTTTGACAGAAAATCTTAACGGAGGAGATTTTAAGATAATCCTAATATATTGGTGTTTGCAATATATTGGTGTATTGGATGCTCAAGGTCGGGCACCGTTCCGGGAACAATCCGGTGGGATCGCCGGAACGAATCCCAAACCGGCGCCCTCGCTTGAGACATCCTCACAAAACCGGCCCCGGGG